CGATTCAATTACGGAAAAAACATGCTCACAGACAGAAAGGGCGACGGAGATTTTTTAGCGGCAAATTGTTGGGACGTCTGTAACGTCAATTACAAACGATCTACAGAAATCCAGACAGTATGAAATGTTTGCGAGATGTCCGACATGTTTAATTTCTGCATCGGGTATATGCATTCAATTCTGACAAAACAATTTAATTTAATTAAAAATTATATTTCATTTCATTCACCAGGATATATGCGTATTTACAATAAATAATTGTAGTTATTATTTGTATTACGTGTATTTACCCGGGTCCGTTTGAAAATCAATGCTAACTGGTGTTCAGTAGATTTACCGCATAGAATAATTGTCAGTTGATAAAATGTTTTTCTTTATCATTGATAAATCATATTGTTTAAAGATCGGACGAGGGCGGTTTCAAATTGATACTATAAATAATTTAATAACACTGTCCGTTAAGTGTCGAGATTACTCAAAAATCCCGATAAAGAGCGGAAAGTATGCGGCACTCGGACCTTTATACGGAGAAAGAAGCGAAAAATTGACCTCTTTATATCTCGGGACATCATCACAAACAGAAAAATGTTTTTGGTATATGATCCGCAGATATTGAACACTAAAAAGAGAACTTTCAGAAACAATGACGCTGGTAAAATGTTTCATTTATATTGCGACGTCACGAACGTCAGTTTGTTTAGTCATCAGCGTGCGCCGGATTGTGCACCCCTTGTGATTTGTAACTGTCACAGAATTGTTATTTGTAAACATATTTTATTGATTTTTTCACTGTTAAATAAGGACATATTTTCGTATATGTCTCTTGTAAAATCATATACACAAATTAAAAGATGTGAACAGAAGAGCCGCAGTCCACGAACTTTTTGAACAGCCCTCGTACTTTTCATTTTCCAGACATTTTCATAAAAATGCAAAAATGAGCAAATTTTTAAGTTTTTTAGCTTATTAAATCTCTAAAACTTGTGATTTTATTGATGTCCTGTCAGTTGAGTGACAACTACTTTACCCTAAACCAGTTGTTATAGACTCACCCTATATTGAATTTGGAACTGTCCATGTATTGTTAAGAGACTTCAGTTTCAAGATATAAAAATATAGCTAGCAGCAGTATAGAGCCTGGCCAGACTGGTTGGATGTGCAGGCTGATCTGGTTCTATCTGGTTCTATTCTAGGGGCAAAGGTTAATCATTTTCTGTTCCAGCAGGTCAAGGTCAGTGATCCAATTTTTGCAATATAGAACATTTTCTTGAAATGTTTAAATGTTAAACATTATAAATAGGTTTTATTTTCATGTGTATTTTGTATAGAAAGGATGTGTTATTGAGTGAAATGAATTCTTAATATGAGCCGCGCCATGACAAAACCAACGTAGTGCTTTTGCGACCAGCATGGATCCAGACTAGCCTGCGCAGTCTGATCAGGATCCATGCTGTACGCTTACCAACCCTATTACAAGTAGAGAAATTAATAGCTAACAGCATGGATCCTGATCAGACTGCACTGATGCGAAAGCTGGTCTGGATCCATACTGGTCGCAAATGCATGTTGGTTTTGTCATGACGCGGCTCATGTGTCATTTTTGATTGAGAGTGATTTTGTACAAAGTTTTAAGGTTTTTGTCATATCATCTAACAATATTTGTGGTGTACAAATCTCTGTGTTCACAATGTACGATTTCACATATTATTTTTTTTGATTTGTTTTTGATTTATTATGAAAATTAAGTCTCAAATCAAAATTTTGTTATTCTTGCAGTTGAGCATGAACCGTTAAAGCAGCAGGCCTCCAGATTCATGCTAAATTTTATGAAAATTTTGAAAATGTATTTGAATGTGTAATATTTTGAAGTAACCAAAAGGAAGCAATTTAAACATTATCAATAGTACTTTCAAATCACATTAAGTACAAATAAGTGGTCAAAATATGCATAAAAAGCCTTTATTGCGTTAGTAACATAGTAGAAATATAGTTGTAAATACTGAAAACTTAGTCATTAATTGCACATAATATGTAAAATATTACTTTAATCTTGAAACTTTTCCTGACATCTTAGTACATTTTTCTCAAGTTTGATTTTATTGAAATCTTTTGACTCATCTGGAGGCATGTAGCTTTAATTTATAAAAATAAATAATGTGTTGATATAAAAATCTACACAGAGCTAATTTTAGGTTTTCAATTGGATACATAAATACATTTGGGTTACTTTTTCAAGTTTTATTTCTATGTTAGTGTCAAAGATAAATGTACTATGAATGTAGAGAAAAGCAAAACAGACCAATGACTTAGATGTATTCACTATAAACCTGATAGTGGCATCTGGTTTCACCCATGTGACGAGTGCAGATCAAGATCCTCTGGCATATTCTTGCTGTCTGGTCATGATCTGCACTGTTTGGTATTCAGTCTTATTTTGAAATTTACCCTAAAAATGATGAATGGTTTTGTCCAGATTGAAAGATAGACAAGTCCATTTGAGATATTTTGCATGGTTATAGTTAATGTAGCTGCACTTTTTATCACTTATCACTTGTGGGGGTTACCTTTAGGGTTGAGACATCAGAATTGCAGCCTCTGTTTTTCCCTGCTTGATCATAAGAGGCAAGTTAATAGGTTTGAATAACTGGAGTCTATGTATCCCTTAGCTCTAGCAGGTGAGGTGGTTTTGACACCTGTTGTTGCTTTAAGTTTGTACCACCTGAGGGTATCCAAAATCATCTTCCTTGTTTCGCCGCCATATGACCTAAATTGTGTTGGTGCACCATAAAACCAAACAAAACACTTCCAGTATCTCAATGCTTATAGAAGCAATATTAACATTTGACCCTGCTGAATCTCTTAAATGCACTTGTCCAATTTCTATTTATGGAAATGTCCATATCATTATGAAATTTTAAAGTTGGTGCGACAAAAAATATAGAGATAGTCTCGCATTGAACACTATTGGCTACAGTAGGTTAAAGATTCTATTTTCTGTTTTGATTCCAGTTTGATATAATATAACAATAATTGCATTTGAACTTTGTCAAGTTATGGTATAGTAATGAACAAATGATAATTGTTGACATTCAGTTGTAGTGACTTTTTTTTTAATGCATTGTTTCAGTTTCAACATTGTTGATTTATGTTTTTTTGTATGCTTGTGTTTGCTTTAAAAGGTTAATATATTTATGTACATGTTTTGAAAATCAAATCCTTATTATACATGTGTCTTACCAAGGGAAACAGATGTTTTTTGTTTGCTGCCAATCAAGTCTAATTATACTTCTTCATTGAATAAGTAACAGAAGTAACAAGTGCATATACTGGTACATTTGCTGTGGCAGCGCACTAGGAACGGGCTACCCCACTTTAGTTTATCACTATTGTGCATTGTTTTTAGTCGCAGGATAAGTCAATATTTTAAAGCATGATTAAAAGTGCTTTGTGTACAAAAATTTCATGCTAGGCAAAGTAGTTTTTGTCTCAGAATTACAAGTTTTCCTGATCCACAAGCCAAATGAAATAAAATCTTGATTAACAAGATGTTCTTGCTTCTGAAAAGGGTTGTATAGAAAGGATTTGTAAATCAGAAATTTTACTGGTACAGAATGTAGAAATATTGTTAGGTAAATGCATGCTGTTATATACTGAAATACGATGAAACTCACACTTAAATCAATAAAAAAACTTGTTAGACTTAAGTGGGCTTAATTGTTTGTTACTCATTGATGTTGCTTAATATTTGTTTTAATGAGAAAATGCTTTTGTTTTCAGGATTTGTGTTTTTGTTTGTTTGGTCCCATGTGTCAGGTTTCATATAAATTGTGTGGCAGTCATAAGTGTTATTAACCAATAAAAAGTGAACCATTGTATTGTTGCTATGTTAATAAATTGTGCATTAACCATGTCATTGTCATAAAATATATGAAATTTATGTATTTTTTGTTATATTTTATTCTCCCATTACATAACTGGATTAACTAAGAACTAGTTCAATACCTTTTAAAGATACTTTAATACTTTTCCTTAGAAATTCAATGTATGGCTGATTACATTTTGAATAAACCACGGATTTCAGATTAACTCATTTGTGCGAGTCATACAGTAGGACATTGCAAGGATGATACTCAAGACCTTCACAATAAGAGATCTAGCTTTGAGTGGATAGTTCAAGGATTCGTTAGGCTTCAGTTTATAGTAACCAGGCCAGTCCGTTATTTATTGATAGTTTTATGCATTATGGTATGGTATTTTGCAGAGCAAATACGCTAAAATGTACAAAAATGTAAAAATGTTTTTAATTGACCATCTTTGGAGTATTAACTGGGAAAGAGGAGAGACCTAACATCTCTGGTAAAACTGTAGGTGCTTTTAACCGCCCAGCCTTATGTATATGTATGAGAGAATTATAACTTCCTCCAATGTCACAAAGAAGCGACATCACACTACTTGTCAATCAAATTGACTGAGCCAATGCAGGTAGATAAGTCAATCAGATTGATTAACAGTTCCATGCTATTGTTCCTGCAAACAATACCATTATTATTTTGCAACAGTGTATTTTCTCAATATGGTTTGGATATTGAATTATTAATAGTATTGAAAATATAGGCATTTATCCTAAACTTATTTTTACCATGACCATGCTTTTGAATCATACAATTAACGATAAGTTTTGAATGAGTTGTTGTATATAGCAACCTTATGTAGATTGCTTTTAAACCCCCTGGGTCAAGGATAGGCAATTAATTCTAATAATTATTAATACACAGTGAAACATCATTTCAAATTTTGCTTCAGACCACTTATTTTTCAAAAAGTCAAGGTTGCTGGTGGGGGGTATGAATCATCTTCAGTGATAGCTCTAGCTAACCTTGCAGGTCTTCCAATAGGATTCCCCCCACTTGTGTATTGTCCAAATATTACCTGTTCTGTATGTAAAATGGTAAATAACCGGTTATTATTGATTGATCTTTAAACATAAAACAACTAAAAACTCATTTGTGACTCTTGTATATTTCTTTGTAAATTATAAATACATATATTCTAGAAATACATTAAATACAATTCAATATGTACAGTTTTCTTGCGTAAAAATAATTTGTAAATTGTTATTATAAAATGAATAAAATACTACCTGAGAAACAAACAAAAAGTTAACATTTTAAGACATATTGCAACATAAATAATTTATGATCAGTTAATATCAGAAAATTTCATTGTAATTATTTCAATTTTTTATCATGCATTCAACTTTAATATGATATTGTATCAATTATAAATATATATTGACCATATATGTATAAATTCATTATAAAATGACAGTAAATTAATTATAAAATACATTTTTTTCTTTCCATTGTATTTATATTTTAGAATAGATTTAACATTGAAATTACTGTAATTTTCCTTTTACAGTAAAAGGCACACAGTGTAAACAAAAATCATTGATATAATATATAACAATTTATCAATATAAATTTCATGAATATTTAACAAATATGTGTGTTCAATGTTACATCTGTATATAATTATTATATGTTCCAATATAAAAAGTTGACAAGGTTATTAATGCTATGTAAAGTCTTTTGGTAAAGCCAAAAAGAAATGATGCACCACAATGATACTTTTTTTCTTTGTTTTAATTCTGATTTGATATTATTATCATTTCATACAGAATAATATTAAATTAGTCACACAAATGTTATTTAACAGGCTAGCCTTATGATGCTTCTACAGACTTGTTTAATACAAGTCTACATTAAATAACTCCTAAAAGATCAAATAAAAATCTGCAAATTGTCACCTTGGTGCAGTTAAAAGATAAATCCTATAAAAATTTTAACTTCTAACAACATACTTAAGCAACATACTTTAAATAAAACATAAATGATTTTGCTTAAAATTGATGATGTCATCTATTTTATGTTTAAATTAATTCATTCAACACCTGTGTTATACATTTGTATAATCTACGTTTGAATTAATTTCATTATTTCAACATTCAGTGTAATAAGTTTCTTAAGGACAATATAGCTGCTAATGCCTACACTAAATACATTACATACATGCTAAAACTATGATATTGCAAAATGAAACATAACTAAGTTACTAAGAAATATTTTTTAGATGACAAAGCTTCATTTTCAGGAATACCCTCTTCCTCGATTGACATGTGATAGTTTTTCTAACTGCGATGACATTCTATCAATGGCCTCAGAAGAAACATTTGTAATGGCTAGATTAAGATCTCTAAGATTGACCAACTTGTCTCCAATATAGGTCAGGGCATTGTCTGTGATACTTGTTGCAGAAATGTCTAGTTGCTCAAGATTTTTCGCATTTTTACTAAAACATAAACATTTAATTCCGTTGTCTGTAACTTTAGTCCCAGCAAGTCCAAGGCTTTTCAAATTCGATAAATTCTGGCTTATGTCTTCTACTGCAGAATCTGATATGAATGTATAACTTAGGTCTAAGCCCCTCAAACTGACCATGTTTCTACAGATAAAATGCACACCAAGGTCAGCCACTTTTGCAGAAGTAAGTTTAAGAACTTTTAAAGAGGTAAAGTTTTCAGCAAGTACTTTCACTCCCGTATCAGTAACTCTATATAATTCCTCAAGGTTCAACTCTTCTAATGATGTGAATTTCAATACGCTGCCAATTTCAGAATCATCTATACGTGTTGTTTTCCCGAGGTCAAGAATCTGTAAGTTTGGTAAATCTGCATCATTCAACCATCCTAAAGGCCAGCCGCATTCTCGTAGTTTGAGGTGGGTAAGAGATTTTGGCAGTGTACTGGAGGACATTCTATCCAAGAAAAATCTATGCAACTGGAGCTCCTGTATGTTTGGACAAGCCGAGCTTATCTCTTCGAGTAAAGCGTCAGATAATAATTGCTTTTTCTGTCTCTCACTTCCAGCTTTAAATAGAAAAATAAAATAAAATAATAAAAGCAAAATTACAATAAAAAAATGTCACAAAATATAATTTTAAGGACCAGTGTTTGGTTGCAGCTATTTTGTGGCTAAAATTTAGCCATTCAACTTATTTTACTCCTATTTCTTAAATATTGTTTCCCCTCCATCAGTTTAAAGAACAAGAGCTGTCACATAGTTGGACAGGATGTTCCATTTTTCTAAGGACCTGATACTTAAACAAGAGTGGAAGTTAAAAAAGTGAATATATATTCAGTGCTTAAAGAGAAATGAAGCTACGAGCAATGCCAAATTATATCTTAGAATCCCATATTGATGATTCAAAATGAAAACATTATTTGTTAACAACTCAATATTTACATAATAATTTATAATTCTGGGAAATTAGCAAAGATTGGTGTTATTTATTACATTTCGCATTGTAGTATCCAACCATCTTCAGACTTCTTAGAACATCAGATAACCGTGTTCGATAAAATTTCCATACTTTTCTCAAGTCAAGCCCTACAAGTTGTGTCATGTCAATGTTTTTCCAAAGTGTCTTATCGCATGCTATTCGCCTCCATGAGTGACATACCCTGAAAATCACAAATATGGACAATAAGCAAAGCAAGCAGCAAATTTGTCAATAATTGATGAAAAATCACCCCGCAAAACACACACAAACTCCCCCTCAACAACTGTGTATTTAAGAATAGGAAGTGGCCCGTACGGCTAGCCAAAAGTTCTAGCCGTACGTGAAACACGTACATCTAGCCAGGACTCACTGTAATGTCTAGCCGTACGGCACTTTTCAAAATTATATGGAAGTCGAACATGCATATATATGTTATTTTGTGCCTAATGATTATGATTTGTTGTTTTATTTGTATGAAAGGTGATTTTTTGTTAATTTAGCACATGGATCAAAAAATAATGATCGGAGTGGAATAATTAAATGAATATTGAAAAAAAAAAACGGTGAAAAGCAAAAATAATTGTATAATTTTACAGTAGATAAATATCGAACATTAAAGCACAATCAATTAATAAGCCTTATTTAAAGCCTACCCAGGGACTGACAATAGAATTTTAAAATGCGTTTCACGGAACATGCAAACTTTCCTTAATGATGCCAATGGACAAACTTCTATACCGTCAGTAATTGACGCAATTATCAGAGCCCAACAACAATAATTTTCCATTTTAAAGTTGTCGAAAATTAAACTTAATGAAACAAAAACGGATTATCACCAAAATTTTGCAAACTATTTCAATTGATGAATTTGATGTTATTTAACTGCGACCAAACGCTATTTTTTCTCAACGTTTTGAGATGACAAAGATCGATATTCGTACTTTTTTACTGTAGCCAGCAAGGCGATTAATCTCTTAAAATACGAAGTCAATTACTGTTTCTTAGTTAAAATCCACGCTTAAACTCATAAAATAACATATGCATTTGCGACTTCCATCTAATTTGTAAATGCCGTCCGGCTAGCCAATTCAGTGTGTCATTGCTAGTCGTATGTGACTCACGTAAGGCTAGAACTTTTGGCTAGCCGTACGGCTAGCCACTTCCTTCGGCAATTCATGGATGTTCTAAAGTCCAGTTTTTTGAATAACAACACCATTTTGTAACACTTTAAGATAGTCAGTAAATAAATTTTGACTTCAAATATTCTAAACGGGGTGAATAAAAAATAGTACGAAAATATATGGAACGAATATATTTCTTCATATAATGAGGTTTCAAAACATGAATCTACCTGCTTATTTTGCATAATTGTTTTACGGACAAATAACTAAATATCTTTAAAATCAAAACGTCTGGTAAACATGATAGATTGACTTCCATCTTCCCCTTTTGTTTCCTGAAATCCAAGTTTGTGAAACGTAAGAACAACTTTACCAGGATAATTACTAGATTTTATGAAAGTTGTCCCCCTTTAATTTTGTTGCTAAGGCGCAATAGTTTCTACCTTGGTAATTTATCATATCTGGTTAATTTGAAGGAGAAGACAAAACAACTTTAAATTTTTATTACGATTTACTAATCTTTTAAAAAGATAAAGGATTTGTGTAGTTATAGTTTGCATTTTGTCGAAGAATTGGAACTACTTTTTAAGCGTAAAAGAGTCGAAACTACGTTGCACGGCACTTCCGCTGTTAATGTAATCAACAATGGCGGCTGTGACAGGAGTTACTGATTACTATGAAAGAAAAGGGTCTCTTTTCTTGAGATCAGATCATATGAACTATGGAAGAGCTACATTAAACTCCAATTGGTAAATACATTTTTAAGTTTCACTTTCTTTCAATTATGGCGAGGCAGAATAGTCCGTTTAGTTTGTTTAACATGTTTTTACAAATTTTATGCATAATTTACGGAAGGTTTAGAGCTATACAGAGCCATCGTATATACCGTTTGATTTTTTAGCATGATTGGTTGTTACTATGCTGACTAAGAATTAAATCAATCTTTCCTTGAACTGTTGAAGATCATAATCTGATTATTATAGAGGCAACATCAGACTATCATACAACTGTACAAAATACCTGTAGGATACCTGCATGATTCTGGGCTCTGGTGGAAGGGCTAAGCCCTTTTTAAGCAAAATAAAAATCAGTTAATAGCGGGTTCAAAGACCTGGCCCGAAGGTCCTGTTCGCAAAGCGAGCTTTATGGATAAGCGAGTACCAGCTAGCTAGGTAGTTGCATGGTGATGGATTTGCCTTTTTCATTAAATTAGAAATATGCGTATGTAGTATAGTAAAATATAGGCTTACTATATATTAAGAAAAAAAACAACATACTCTTTGGTAAGACTATCTTTGAAGAGCTTTAACTTTAACTTCATGGACCTTTATTGTCTTTAACTTAAGAGGATTTTGTTATTTGATATTGTTATAAAGATCTATAATGTATGTTTAATATAATGTACTGTAGCAAACTTGAACTTTTTTTTTTATCTTTTTAGGCATCAAGCCCGTGAGGCAGAACCTAAAGATTATGATCTCAGTCAAAATGAAGAGAGGGACTTGGGAAAAGCCACATACAAAAGAATAGGCAATGTCACAGACGGAGTAAGTATTTCTGTAATTCATTAATTCTGTAGATTATGGTTAATCCATCATTTCTTGATTTAATTGTTAAATCTTATATGAGACTTGCTTTTTAATGTATAGTATTTATTGACTTATTTAGCTTCTTATCAACATGTAAATCTAGCTTATTTAAGGTTGGTGGTGAGGCTCAGATTCCTGCTTGTGTCTGATATAACATATAGAGCAAAGAGGTCTCCTTCAATCAACTTCCAACCCCCCAGAATAATGTGATTGCTGATAAAAAAACACAATAGTACCACTAATATAAATAGTACTCATTGTTATTAATTTTTTTCAAATGATTTTTACAAGTGATATGAAAGGCATGATGATTTTATTTGTTATAGTGTAAAACTATATATGGGAGATATAAAAGCCACCAAAAAGCTCAGTTGGTAGAGTCTTATAATGGTAATCCAAGGGTCCATGATTCAAGTCCCCGGTCAGGCTGCACATTTTTCTCACCCTGAAATATATGTATTGAATTATATGGTGCATCACATGACTTGTTATATAATGACCTAGACACATTTAAAATAAATACATAAAAAGTATTGAAAACATACTGCTTTTTTCATTTAAAGTCTTGTGATAAAAAATCAATGATCCTTTTATATGTTGTGAATTAATTCATATGCTTACTTTATTTTTCATTATTTAGAATCTGCCAAATACTACATATCAAGCCTTTGCTGAGCAAACCAAACTTAAACCAAATTTTACAGAAAGGGAAGTTAGGAAGCCAATGGTTAATCTGGAGACCCTAGACCATGTTGATATGGAAAGGTAAAACACTGACATTTATGCTCATTTTTTGTCTGGCATTATGCTCATAATTTGTCTGTCAATTGAGCTGAATTAGCGTTATATAATTATTATACATGTTTATGAAAAGATTGACTGTTATAATGGGGACTGACCAATACTTGATAATGACAAATAAGATAAATATAGAATTGCTGGCTAAATAAGTAAAAATGAGCTAAATATAAAAAAACAGTGCCACACTCACTATCAATTGAACATAAACCAATTACATTCCAAAGGATATTTATGGAATCAGTGAAACATGCATCAGTTGCATCTCCATGGTTATTGATAATTTATGAGTACCAAGATACTAAATTGGAAACAATTATGGCAAATATAAATATATAATTATAGAATGATATTTTGACAATTAAAGTTGTCTCCCTTTTACTTACTTTTTTTCATTTTGAAGTCCAGAAAAAAAACATTGCCATCTGCAAGTTAATTGTTGCTCTTTCTATCAATATTAAGAACTAATAGTACAATTATATAATGGACTTTCCCTGCTTTGAATTGGCTCAGTCCATTACTATTCTAAGGGTTTCAATAAGTTTTTTTTAGAAAAAGCTAAACATTGAGTCTTCTGGTCTTGCATGGATGTAAAGGCCACATCATCACAAGAGATATTGGGTCATAAACTGTTTTTTTATATGCCAAATAATTATTAGAATGATAATACATTAGAGCCCTTTATAGGCGTTTGTTATTTTATTTTAGAGGTAATATTTGAAAATATGAGGCTAATTGGTATAAGAAAATGAATTTTATTAATAATTTTGACATATATTTGCAGAGAGATTGGAGCACCAAAGCATGGCTACGGCTCAGTTTTACCTCGCCATAATCCAGATTACAATAAACATTACCTTGACAGTACACACAGAGCAGACTTCAAACCACCAAATCCAGATTATGTTCCTGTTCCGGTAAATACTGTCTTATAGCATAAATGATTAGTCAAATATATCCTATCTAAACACTAACTAAATATGTTGTTGGTTAAAATCCTGCAACATACATTGGATTCTTTCATGTGCCAGAAAGCTATCCAGCTTGCTTACTGAACATTGCTGTGGTTCTACTCGGGTGCCCGCTTGTTTCTGAAATATGCACTGAGGTCTTCCTCAACCAGTAAAGCTGAAAGTTGCAATATGACTTTTAGAAATGTTGGTGTGACTTAAAATCACTAACCAAAAAGAAAAAAAAATTGCAAAGAGACATTTGTCTTATTCACTAGAAGTATAAACAAACTCATTTTACTGCAAATTATTTTACATTTATAGTTTTGTGCCTTTAAAAAAAGTTAGGACATAATTAAAGATAAAAAAGGTAATATAATCACTTAAATGAAATAAAGGAGTAAAACAGATACCAATATTTTTCATATTTTTTTTTTTGTAGCTTCTGGTGATTGTTTCCAGAATTATAAGATATATTATGCGAATGATACAGCTTGATCATATAGAAATACGGGGGTTAATCCCTCAAAAATTGTAACAGATAATGCTTTGGATTGTTTGCTTAATTCACTTTGTTTAATTTATTAGATTATGATATGAATTCAATTTTTTTTATATCTTGATTGCCTCATTGACGTTTACAGTGTATAATTGAATTGATAGAAAAGGTGCATTTATCATAAACAAAACAAATATGTGATTATAACAAAATTTCATTTCTCTCCCTGTATTATGTAGGAATGTCCACCAGACTTTGAAGACAAGTCATCTGCCTATAGAAAATGTCACTCACAGTTTACCGACACTGCTGACTACAGAAGACCCGGCAGAAACACATGGCAGGATGAATCAGGAATTTATACAAATACCCATTACAAACGTGAAGTATTCAAACCAACAGAAACCATACCACCACAGCTTAGTTAAAATAAATCCAAATTTTTTATTTTTATTTTTTTAATTGGCATTCATAGAACTTTTTAAACATTTTTTTTTTTACAAAATGCCAATTTGAAAAACCTACAATAAAAGATATTAATTTAACAGAGTTTGGATATTTGTATATCACCATCATTGACTGAATGTGTTGTTTTAGTAAAAGATGAAAATGAGGTGAAAATTCAGTGTTAGCCAATTAATATATGATTAATATAACTATTAATATTTTCACCATTTCAATTATAAATGCATTATAGTACATAAAATCTGAATTATTGACCTAAAAAAAAGCGCATAAATGACTACTTTTCTTTAGAGCTATTTCAAAATAATGAATAATTAATATAAGGGTGAAAAACATTTAATATACCTAAATGAGTTTTATGTTAAAAACCTTATTGTATAGCTGTAAAAAAGCATTTTGCTTGTCTAAAACAATAGGTCCGTTATGGAAATGATTGAAAATAAAATCTGTGAAGTGGCTTTTAAAATATTTTCCTAATTGTTATGTATTTGTGGAGCTTTTTACAAGTTTTTAGAGGTTATCTTTTACCTTTTTGTTTCTAAAAGACACATTATATAAAAAAAAATTATATTTATAACAACTTTTTTTAGCACTCTGATTATAAAAAGCCCATGTCAAATATCATTAATTTGTATAATGTAATTCACATTCATGTACATGTGTTGTATGAAGAAACGTGGTAATGAAAACAAATCAATTCAATTTTTGAATATATATACATGTTGATTGTTATACTTTTGTTTGATTAAATTTTGATAAAAAAAAATTGTTTATATAAATACATGTCTTTTTTGAAGTCATTTTAAAGTTTTTAAGTGATGCCATATTAAGACTGGAAAAGGCTTTAGGTTTCTAAGATTTATCACTTAATGTTAAGTCTTTGAATTCCAAAGTGATATCAAGGTTTTAGAGCAAATGCTTTTATTTGCAAGTTTGTTATTTTAATTTTATAAAAGAATAAACGCTCTATGTTGGTTTTGTCGTGATGTTTGATAAAAAATGTATTATACAATACCTGGGAGATAATATATTATGTCCCAGATAATACTTATGCAATAGTAGTCATATATTGTAGTTTTTGTCAACTTTTAAAAGATAAAGATATATTTTCAAGATTTTTTTGTGATACATTCTGCCAAACATGTTAGTGTATATGATGCAAAGGGCATATTTTATATTGCCTCAAAATGTATTCTTCTTATGACTTTTTTAGTCCTAAAGCGTTGATAGAACATCACCTCTACAAAGCAAGTTTACCATTGGTCATATTCAAATTCAATGATTTGAACCAGCCAATTAGATGTTGTTTTGTATTGAGAATGAACTTTTAATTGAAATATTTTATTGGAACATTTGACTTTTCCACCAGAAGTATTACATAACAGAAGCATTGTCCAGTGTAGCATTATAATAGTGTGATATTACAAACATGGTAATGTTTATATGTGTGTTAAGTAATTGTTATTGTAATTTTGGTATAAAACTATACATGTATTCATCAACCCAATTTTATTCAATAAATATTTATAAATAAACACCCTGGCTATTGTAAATTGTTAACCCCAACTGTTTTTTAATATCAGCTGCTGAAATTATGTAATCTCCCAAATGAAAGCATAGAAATTACTTTGACTCACTCCCTCCCTGTGTACATCTATGTTTCTAGTAATGGATAAGTAATTTTCTGCATTTTCATTCATTTTTACTGACCTTCAGGATAAAGAAAAAGTTATTTTTGCAGAATATGACATGCCATTTTTTTTACGCAGGATAGCATGCTATATAATAATCACTCACATTTGATAACAACGGTTTTTCGAGTACCTTTGTATCCCATTAACCACGGCAGGTAATTTTTGAAATTTCACACATATACCAGCATGCCCGGAATCATAACTGTAGGTAAATGTCTAAGACCCATAATTCTGGCAAGGAATTTTTAATTTTTCTCCTTATTGTACTAAGCAATGCTTGTGTTATATAGATCTACGATATTCGTGTATCGGGCAACGTTCGTTTAAGCCTTTATATTTCCATCATCACACCAATGGCTGCTTGTGAGTGAAACTTTTATTGCATGCAACATTGCCAAGTCAGCATTTTCTGTCTGTAATTGACCCGAAATCAAAGTTTTCGACAACCAGTTGTATTTGGCTCCAAAGCATCCGCAGCATGACCCTAATTATTTCAGATCGTCACCTTAGTGCAGTAACGGGTTAACTCCTATTGAACTATATAACGAGTTAACCCGTGCACTTAGGAGACGATTTGTCGCGAGAGTGTCAACAAAAAGGACTTCTTTGTTGACCCGGATGCCATCCACTGTCTGGCAAAAGCTGTGCTCTGTGAAGAAGTGAACTTTCTAACCACATAACGAGTGCCAAATTGATGAAATGATTAACAACGAAAGGCAAAGTATAAATTACCTAAAAGGACATGCATAAATCTTATCATTTCATTTATTAAAGTAAATATCTAAATTTTCTTTTATGAAAACTTGCTTTGACAGAAGAAATTATATAGGTTCAGGTTGGTATTTTTGTAACAAGTATACACACTTTTTGAGTTTTTTTTTTAGTTTTTTTATTTCAACGCATGTCATTTCATGAAATATAGGGACATAGTGCTTTCTTGAGGCATTTAAGAAAATATATATTTCTGTTTAGCATACAAAACTAACAAATTCATACAATTATACATTCATAACAATAATAAAATCAGAATTTACCCCTCGTGAACATTTAAATTTTCATTTACACATATAATGTATATAATTTATACATATTTGATGAAAATAAAAGTTCTGTAACAAACTCGTAAAGTCTATTAACTTTTAAACTTGAACAATGTTTATAATTATATGTTTATTAGTGTGGTCCAACTAAGTCCCTTTTGGCAAAATTTAAGCGAAATTCTGACCCAGAACAAAAATATTTTGAAGAATCTAGCTTTGGCACGTCAAAATATTTTGAATTGACGTTTTGGTGCGTTGATTCAACGTAACAAAGAAATTGTACATGTTAGTTTAGAAAAATCTTTTATGCTCTATTGCAAACACGGGTATTGCATGTAAAGATGACTAATAAAATTTTCATATATTTATAAACACAATAAACATGAATACCGTAATTATATCAATCACGCGTGCACATAAAGTATGACTTGTCAAATTCTCTATGTTCACTAAAATCTCATATATATGTAATGTGTATAATTATAATCACAAAAATATATCGTACACCGGCCTATCGTTTAGTATCTATCCATTGACAATTCTCCTATTTTTATTAATAAATATATTGGCCTTTAAATCGGCCATATTACAACTACTTGTGTTAAACGATACTTGAATTATATAAAGCGTGTCTTTTGCGTGCTTTATATAATCCAAGGACATTATAAACGCATATATCTGTCCCTGTCACATTCTGTGAGACAAGTATATAATGTAAAAACCTTGCGGGGATGTATTCTTTTTGAAAGATCTTATCACCGTGACACCCTGTTTCAATCTGGGACAAAAAATGCTTGTCCCATTTTCATTTAAAAAAAAGACAACACTTTAAAGAATGCAAATACTTTCCCATATATTGATATAATATTACGTGAACATTACTTCATTTTGGGTCAAAACGCTCACGTGATTATCTGACTCACGTGACTTTCCAAAGATTATTTCAGGTATGCTCGGGTACTACGTACCTGGCACTTTAGTATAGAACCCAAGGTCGACCACCCGTAAGCTAGCTGGGTAGCATCTTTTGCACCTGATTGGGCACAATTTATTTCAAAAATATAGATGGAGCATGCAAGCAGTGTATTTCTATGCGTAGCAACATGGCAAATTAGTAATAAAAAAGTAAAATAAAGATGATTAAAAAAGTGAATTATTTAACTTGCTTAAGTTAACATTAACATGTAGTTATGTTGATAAAATTATTCAATATTTATCAGCAGAACTGAGGAGGTACGTCTGTTATATATTTGATACACTATTTTAGAAAAAAAAACATCCTGCGTAGTGTATCTAATTTATACATGTAGTTGCACATACATCAATTAAGACAGGCAATTACTTGTACACGAAGCTAAACATTAACTAATTTACACATACACATGTACATGCAGAAAGTTCTACTCAGCATTCTTTTCAAATTGTACGCGTTTTCTGAATTATATGTCTACAGTACCATTTCTTATAAGTTCTTACCAGAGATGTTGACAATTTCTAAGTTTAACGGCAGTTGACAACACTCGCATTAAACACAAGTCCGAACCACGTTGATTTTCTTAGCCTATTGTGTAAACATTTGTTTTGCATTTATAATCATTTGTCAGTATCATCATATTGAGAACCATCATTTGTAAAAAGTGAATTATATATATATTTCTTTAAGAATTCGCAGATTTACATTTTTCTACTGCTGTTCTAGTTTGCTAGCCCTCTGAAATCGTGTTTCATTTGATCATGATAGTTTAGATGTATGATGAAATATACAAATAGTCGGGTGTTGAATACTAAAGTAAAGTACTAAAATAATTCAATTGGAACCTCTCTATACACACGCAATTTAAAAGCTTTCAATTTATTGTACAACCGGTTATAAGTGCGTTTTTTTCATTTGACATTGTCAAAGTCGTAACATTCTTTGAACAAAGGTAATGTTTTCAACTAATACTGTAAAATGATATGGGTATAAATCAGTTTTAATTATAAAAGAAATCAACGTCATCTGACGTTGCTCATATTATTTTTACCTTGAAATAATTGAAGGTAAAGTTGTTTTTATATGTAAATATATGTAGCAGTCACGCCAAACTGTCCCGTGTTCCTAGCACTTGGGGATTCTCCAATGTCATCCCCGTCATCAAGAGGCAATTTTTTACCCCCTACTTGGAGAAATCGTTGAGCAAACTTGAACTTGAATTTCAAGTCTCGCGCGAAATTACTTCCTGTTGTTTCACAGAGCCGGAGACCATTTTTCACAACCGGATGTGACTGAAGTTCCGTAAAGTTCAGCGCGAGATGAAATGTCAAAGGTGAACTTAACGGAAGTTCCATCAGAGTGTAGCCAGATTTGTCAAGAACACATCCTAATATGGTAGTTTCCTCGTAAGAATCGAGTAATGTGAACAATCCAGTGAATGAAGTAAGCCTCGGTTTGAATCTTCCACGGATATAGCGTACAATTATCGGAAACTTTTGTTTCTCGATCAAATCTTCACTCCTGACAGACATTCTTCCGGTTCCATCCAGATCGTTTGGTAATATTTCAACGAATTCCCCGCCTTGAGACACTGGTATGACAATATTGTTGTCTTTGTCATCTCGACATTTTAGATAGTTCGTCTGCTGTGATATGCTATTTTTATGATGAAGAATTTTCCCGTCCTGCTTCACCTTTGCGCTTCCAGAGAAAACATTATCGATAACGAACACGTTTCCAGGTACATAATCTACCCTGGGGTAATCGCCCATTCCATTTGGACTGTTTATGATCCTGAAAGCTGCGATTTTGGTAAGATTTAGAAAAGCTTTGATATTGTTATGAGCCAGAGAGTCGATGGTTTTGTGAGTGGTATGATCTTTAGATGTCCTTGACCTTAACCGCAGAAAAAAACCTGAAAATACAAATAGAATCAATGAATATTATTGTATTAATAAATAGAAAATATACTCAATCCTATTGCGTGAAGTGTAAACATTTGGTGAATGAATTCATTTAAACGACTCATTTATGTCATTTTCTAAGTAAACCATATTTTAATTGACCTGGAAAGGGGTTGTCTTAAGTAACCCTTTCCTGCTGGAACCGGTCCTGCTGGAACCGGTTTATATTAAATAGCAGTATGCACGCCCCGGAGTCTGATCAGGCTCAATATCACTGAGTTATTTTCATCTTGATATCCCAAAAATAGAAACTGGACAGTTTCAAAAATTGAAGCTGGACAACTCCATTCAAGAAAGTCAGCAGAATAACGATTTAGGATGGTTAAGTGTCACATTATAGTTTACTGATTATGCGATCATTAATACGTCTTTATAAACTATTTGTACATGAAAATTGACTAAACTCTAAACATAATTATATAACTTATTCTTTTTTTTTAAGTCACGTGGGTTCATTCTTTCACAAGATGGTTAAATCTGTTCAAAGAGTCTCTATAAATTTACATCTTGAGAATATCACATTATTTTACATAAATAATGTATTCAAATAACATAACTAAACACATTTTAATTCAACTCTAGGTCAATGTAGAATAACGAACAATCCATCTCAGTTGAATTTAATGTTTGCATAAGTCATTTTGGTAAATAAAAATCTTTTCAGACAGCCAGCCAGAGCAAAGTAGCTTAGAATAGCGTGGGATATTTTCTTTTTTGAAAAAAGAATTACATTGAAATATTGAATAGTGAAATATGATAGCATTAATAATGTATTTCTTTGCATAAAAAGGACCACTCTTCAACCCAACCCTTATAATATGCGGTATGGATGAAAGTCGTAAGATAAAATCCAGTAGGTGCATGCATTCTGTGCATAGAATGATATTTTTAAAGCGTTTATTACAAATGACAGTATTATTCAAGGGGTTATATTGAAGAAGTTTGTTTTGTTGGGTTAAGTCTCATTTTAAACAGTATTTAAGTCATATTTCAGCGTTCGAGTGTTCCTGGAGTTTGTACCAGCTCTAACCTGTTTCCCCCTAAACAGAACTGCAAACATCTAACATGTAAATCCATGAAGACTGTGATAGAAGAAGATGAATGGTATAGGAAATACTGATCGTCAACCACGTCATCAACAAAAAAAACCCAAAAACCCCCCAAAAACAACAACAACGAACAAACCACGTGACTCACACGCAGGACTGGAACTCAAGACTCCTAGTCCACAGACGTAATGCATTTCCTAATATGCTTACAGAATTAACGTTATCAGTGCATTAGTCGAAGAAAAAAAGTAGCTTTAGAATAATTTTCATGTTTCATTTTGTGGCTTTTACTAACTCACCAAAATATTTCTTGTGTCTGACTGTGAATTTTTTTTTTCTTTCATCTTTTAAAGTCATATAAGAATTCAAATTTGAAGAAAACGAGAAAAATAGTTTTAAAATTTCACACAATATATTTAATATGCCTTTGCTAATGCGGGGTATTCAGATGGACAGAAATATGTTTACATTGCTTCGAGGCACACATCTGTTCGTGTATTTCAATTAATCATACATTAATATCTTTTATCACCTTACAAATCTATATAAATCGTTTAAGAAGATTTTGTGACAGTATCTCAACATTCTTCTCTAAGTGTATCCCCAACTGGGACAAAAACTAGGGTGCTGAAGGGTGGTGAAGAATTTAACTGTTTTTTAATCCATGGATGCAAGAAGCAATAATTTCTTATCCATTTCATTTTAAGGTGTATTTTATCCGAATGTAAACCTTTTAACAACACAGTTTTCCTTCAGGTATCATATATATAATTACATAATTGAACAAAACAATTAATGTACAGAAACTCCTTGAACGTAATTGTTAAAATTTGTTCCAAACAAAATTAAAAAAAGAAGAAATTCTTAAATAAATATATGATACATGTTTTGTTCTTGCCTTTAAAACATTTGATAATGTTGTATTTAAGAAAAATGATTAAATTTAATGTCAAACAGTGAAAACTTTTAAAATATTTTTTCTTTTCTGTAATTTAAAATCTTTAAACTCCAAGGTATATGGTTCTTTTCACATTCATGAATAATAAATATATCGAAAGGCATTTTTGTTCCATTAAAAAGATGATTTAAGGTTACGTATAGCTTGTACCATACGATATATGTTATTGAATATTTATAACATTATGCATCCCATTTATCGATAATAGATATTTCGTACCAAATACGGGCAATGTTCCCGTTGATAATATACCAGGATGTACGACAAATATAAAATTGTTTGCTCATTATACCCCCATAATGATTTTATGTTCATTTTGAAAAGCATTTTTAGTGTCCTACTATATATAGTCCAAAACGTTACCCACTAGCCAATTACCTGAACCATCTTTTGCTTCTTTTGCTTTTTATCATTAGTAAAATATACTGATTTTGTATGGAAGTCAAAATACTACTTTGTTTATATTTTGTTACTTTTAAGTTTTATGACAGATAATTTTAAAATTAGGCGCTAATTTCTTCAGGTGATACGCATTTAACAATTATTAAATGTAATAAAACAACTGTTTGCCCGTTCCAATGAATGTAAAACTATTCGTTTCTGAGGAAAAATCTGCTTGTTTGAACCGAAAATGATTAGCCTTTGTCAAAGTATAGAGCAAGACTTTGCTACAAGTATAGGAGCTAGCCTTTGTCACAAGTATAGGGGCTAGCCTTTGTCACAAGTATAGGGGCTAGCCTTTGTCACAAGTATAGGAGCTAGCCTTTGTCACAAGTATAGGGGCTAGCCTTTGTCACAAGTATAGGAGCTAGCCTTTGTCACAAGTATAGGAGCTAGCCTTTGTCACAAGTACATATAGAGCTAGCCTTTGTCACAAGTATAGGAGCTAGCCTTTGTCACAAGTATAGAGCTAGCCTTTGTCACAAGTATAGGAGCTAGCCTTTGTCACAGATATAGAGCTAGCCTTTGTCACAAGTATAGGAGCTAGCCTTTGTCACAGATATAGGAGCTAGCCTTTGTCACAAGTATATGAGCTAGCCTTTGTCACAGATAAAGAGCTAGGCTTTGTCACAGATATAGAGCTAGCCTTTGTCACAATTATAGAGCTAGCCTTTGTCACAGATATAGGGGCTAGCCTTTGTCACAAGTATAGAGCTAGCCTTTGTCACAGATATAGGAGCTAGCCTTTGTCACAAGTGTAGGGGCTAGCCTTTGTCACAGGTATAGGAGCTAGCCTTTGTCACAGATATAGAGCTTGCCTTTGTCACAGATATAGAACTAGCCTTTGTCACAGATATAGGAGCTAGCCTTTGTCACAGATATAGAGCTAGCCTTTGTCACAAGTATAGAAGCTAGCCTTTGTCACAGTATAGGAGCTAGCCTTTGTCACAGAGTATAGAGCTAGCCTTTGTCACAGATATAGAGCTAGCCTTTGTCACAGATATAGAGCTAGCCTTTGTCACAAGTATAGGAGCTAGCCTTTGTCACAGATATAGAGCTAGCCTTTGCCACAAGTATAGGGGCTAGCCTTTGTCACAGATATAGAGCTAGCCTTTGTCACAGATATAGAGCTAGCCTTTGTCACAAATATAGGAGCTAGCCTTTGTCACAGATAAAGAGCTAGGCTTTGTCACAAGTATAGGAACCAGCCTTTGTCACAAGTATAGGGGCTAGCCTTTGTCACAGATATAGAGCTAGCCTTTGTCACAAGTATAGAGCTAGCCTTTGTCACAAGTATAGAGCTAGCCTTTGTCACAGATATAGAGCTAGCCTTTGTCACAGATATAGAGCTAGCCTTTGTCACAGATAAAGAGCTAGTCTTTGTCACAAGTATAGAGCTAGCCTTTGTCACAGATAAAGAACTAGCCTTTGTCACAAGTATAGGAGCTAGCCTTTGTCACAAATATAGGAGCTAGCCTTTGTCACAGGTATAGGAGCTAGCCTTTTTCACAGATATAGAGCTTGCCTTTGTCACAGATATAGAACTGGCCTTTGTCACAGATATAGAGCTAGCCTTTGCCACAAGTATAGGAGCTAGCCTTTTTCACATGTATAGGAGTTAACCTTTGTCACAGATATAGAGCTAGCCTTTGTCACAAGTATAGAGCTAGTCTTTGTCACAGATATAGGAGCTAGCCTTTGTCACAAGTGTAGGGGCTAGCCTTTGTCACAAGTATAGGAGCTAGCCTTTGCCCACAGATATAGGAGCTAGCCTTTGTCACAAGTGTAGGGGCTAGCCTTTGTCACAAGTATAGGAGCTAGCCTTTGCCACAAGTATATAGCTAACGTATGCCACAAATGTACGTAAAGCCAGTAATAACTTCGTTAATTTTGCAAAAGATAACTGTTACAGGAAAATGAAATTTTTATCAGTAATTACAAAAATATCAAAAAAAAGTAAACCATCTCTATATTATTTCCACGGGACAGAAACTTTAAGGACATGGGACTTTTGTTATTCAGTTTATTGATAATATTTTAATGTTTTAATAGTATAGAATTTAACCAATCCTATAAATTGGAAAGCCACCAAGCGGATTGGACATTCTTTGGGAGATTATAAATAAGAAGTAGTAAATAGTATAAAGAATAAACAACTATTGGTATTAGTCATTCTGTCGCTGCCTTGTCTTTGCTATAGTAATTGCATTACTTATGCAACAGATGAATGACGATAACGGCAGAATGAATGAATGAATGAATGAATGAATGAATGAATGAATGAATGAATGAATGAATGAATGAACGAACGAACGAACGAAATAAAAAAAAGATAAAAAGAAAGATATTCACCTTCATAATCTTTAGGTATTACCACCGTGTCATCATTCTCCGTGAACTTTCCGCTGACTGGGTCAGTGATGACGTTTCTAGCCAGTAACTTCCGCACGGTTCGGGAGTCGAACAGTAACAACGGTTGCCCGAGGTTAATAGGCAATGGCGAATCCTTCTTGACCATTATAGCTTGTGGGTTGCACTTCACTATCTGTGGCAAACTAAACTGAGCCAACAAGTCCTCGACCGTGTAAGCCTGTGTACTCCACTGTGCCCTCTTCTGTTGAGACATTCCCGACTCCGAGACCCGGCTTGCGCTTCGTTTAGCAGACATTATCAATTGTGTCCGCTCCCTACAAACTTTACATTTAAAAAGTCCGTATATAATGTTAAATTTTACCGACGACACTAGACGAAAGACACGTTATGCACGAATTAAGTGCCACTTTTAACTGTTTAAACACTTAGTGTTTATTTAGGCCGTATTCTGAATATTATAAAAAGGGTGCCAATTAGTGACCCACGAAAATTATGACAGTATTCCTATAATATAATTGATTTATGTCCAATACACTGTGGCGATAGATAGCAAAGGCTTTCTATGTATAATATACATATATCATTTTATAACACGCACCGTTAAGCGCACTTCAATGATTTATTTGGCGACTATTCCAACTGCAAAATGTTGAAAACTGACAGACTATTTACCCAATAACGACTATATAAATAGAGAAATTTCATGCCTTGCTGCACTTTGAATTGAATTGAATACCAACGATTTAGAAGAGCAATCTATTTTATCGACCAAATACCAAACTTTCTTCTTTATTTAGATCTACTGAAATTAGGCTGAAAGAAGAAAAATAACTGCGTGGGCTGCTGTGTACAGCAGGTGTGTACCGTAAAGTTACGCGTAAACTGGAAGACTGATTATCTACTAGCCCAGTCGCTTTTAAATAATTATATTTCATATAAATATATAACACCGGGAAAATATGTGTTATTTAATCAATTACCCCGAACAAATACTTGATTTGGACACTGTTCTGTAGGTTTAGATTTTTCATATTTTAACTTTGAAAAGTATAGTACAAACTTTTTAGTCACACATAGTACACTTGAATTTACAGTAAGAATAACTCGTATTGGCATATTGTGAAATTAACATTACAAAAATAGTAAGAGGTAATTATGCTAACTATTCGCTTCTTTTCTTTTTGTGACTTGAGAAAACTTTCGTAAAGGTTCTATATATTTCATGTTTGTTTAAGGTAGGAATGTAAACAAAACTTCTGCCGAAATGCTCACCCGGGCTAGTCCCAGACAATGGCAGGGACATTTAAGTTGCTGTCCTGTGACAACAGTAAGATGGTAACATACCCACTTAACACATCACTGCGTCCCGTGTGATTGTCGCAGCTGTTTAGAGTTCAATAGAATCTCTATTGTCTTCAACAATGTGTAATCACTCCATTTCAATGTTTAATTCACTGTCTGTTTGACTGAAGTTTTTTTTTAAAGGTTTGCATGATAAAATCACTTAATATTTGATAGATATTTGTTTAATGGAAAAAAAAAGAAAAGAAAAAAAGCCCACTTGCATCAAATGTGTAAGAAAGATAACTCGTAAAAGAATAATTCACAATGATAGGTAGAGTTACTTATAGAACAATTTCAAACGTGATATAGATTTTTTGGGCAAATGAAAACAGGGCTTAATGGGGTATAAGATTAATTTGATACGAATTTTTTGGACTCTAAAAAGAAAACGAGTTTAGAAAGATAAAGTTGTATCAAATAAAAATTACTTTATATCAACCGATCGCTGCTTTTAAATTGTACCTGGTCACTATCCGGAATATTTCCATATTGGACGCCGTCGCTGTTGCGCCCAATTTAATCAGCAACATCGGACAATGTGTTTGATAACATCAATGGTAAAAGTTGACAAAAGTATGCGGTTGAATTTCAACGCGTTGAAAGCGTGTAGCGAAATTGTATCTGACTCGACAAACCATAACAATATTTGATCACAGTAAGTATTTCCTCAATATGATTTTAATGCTGCAAAACATAGAACAGATACAAAACGGAAATATATTAAGACTCATTTACAGCTTAAGAAATCATGTCTTTTTCGCCCGGCGGCTTGTCATGGGCTTTTCAGCTGTGTACACTTCCACATGCATTTCCGTATTGTACAGTTCAATATTAGATAAACTGTATATTGCACAAAAGTTAAAAGTCCAATACAATGTATATGTTTTACTCAACAATGTATAATAAAAGAATCAACATTATTTCACATCTTATAAAATGAAACTAATGAAATTTCAGCATTTGCTCATGAAATCTTCCAATTAGAATAATTATTATAGTGTCCACCGTTGTAAGATCCTTATAAGCTATAGTACTGATTATAATTTATAGCGAAATTATCAGTTTATTACTTCATGGATGATCATGATATTTGCAAGCACTAGTAAAAATTTTTTGAAAAGAAAAACTCGAGCTGAAAAAGAATAGAAAGATATACTGGATAACTTTCACTGTAAATCTTTGTAAAATGTAAAGGTATTGGAATGAAAATATGAGTCGAAGTATTGCTTCTAAACAAACTTGTGTGCGATGTTAATTCTCTTCCTACAACATTTGGGTTATCACAGTGGATATCTTTCAAGGCAATCACACAAACATGACAAGGGGTGATGAAAATAACAATAACATTTTTATACCAATACATTTATATTCAAGAAACACGAATCTACAACGTCAATAAAAGTCATATGAATAATAGTGCGTTTGATACATGAATTTCTTTTCGCTAGGTTTATTTATACAGACCGCCGGGACGAACCAGTGTCGGCCTGAATACATGCACCCTGCCCGGTATAAACTCGGTATTCTCCACCGGCGGTGACTTCTCGTGCTTATCTTCCGCCGCTGACCTGAATTTCGTTAGATGGTGGACATAACTTGGCAATACATCTAAGTACGGTACCACCCCCCCCCCCCCGCCCCAGTTAGTCACGACAGATCAACCAATCACTCCTTGTGCTAAGGATAATTTGACCTCACCTTGCATCTGCCTTAACTGCGACGAGCATACCTTGGCAGAAATTTCTTGTCATAACTATACATGTACATTTGCAAGTAAGATTACATATTATGCTAAATACAATAGTTTGTCCTTACCAATTTTAAAATGGATATTTTTCTCCCAGCTTTTTATAAAGTACTCAACATAAACGTGATCTTTGTGAAAGTAATCAGAATCTCATTCAATTCGAAAGAACTCGGTTACTGTAGGTTAATTTTCGATTTACATTTGTAATTTTCTTGTTCTGGCACTTTTTCTATTGTAGAACAATATATATCGTGTACATGTATTGCTTTACAGTACATTCAAATTCGAAAGCTGATAATCATTTTAAAGATAAGATTTGACCGAGTCTATCATTATTTATCATCAAGTATTCGCTTTAAATTGTGCAGGACTGATTTAAATTTAACATGATCCGTTTACTTACTATTGGAATATTTGGAATATTCTGTGTTGCATATTCCTTGGTAAATTACATATATTGCAGTAAATTATATCTAATTCCTTATAAATACTCGCACATGGCAGGGCGTCCTGGGTCTACTTTTTCATGTTGCATACTTCAAATCAAAATTTTAACATCATGCGTGATGTGGCTTCATTTTTGATGCCGTGGATCGTAGATTTTATGATAAGATGAAGCTAGATCATATATCCCTTTTGGAAGGTCGTAGTTTATATATCCCTTTTGGAAGGTCGTAGTTCATATATCTCTTTTGGAAGGTCGTAGTTCATATATCTCTTTTGGAAGGTCGTAGTTCATATATCCCTTTTGGAAGGTCGTAGTTGGTATATCTCTTTTGGAAGGTCATAGTTCATATAACTCTTTTGGAAGGTCTAAGTTCATATATCCCTTTTGGAAGGTCGTAGTTCAAAAATCCCCTTTGGAAGGTCGTAGTTCATATATCCCTTATGGAAGGTCGTAGTTCATATACCCCTTCTGGAAGTCGTAGTTCATATATCTCTTGGAAGGTCGTAGTTCATATATCCCATTTGCAAGGTTGTAGTTCTTATATCCTTTTTGGAAGGTCGGTTGTTCTTCTTTTGCAGAAAGCGGGACCACTTGAGATTTAAAAATCCCCACTAATAAAGCTCAAAAGTCGTCTGATGGTTTTTCAAAGTGTTGATGTCACAAAAATATTTATTTTAACCAATGGAAAAAAATCTCAAAATTAGTAAGAGATATTTCATATTTGTTTAGCTACAATTGAACAGTTGAGATCTGCGATTCTTTTACATTTTATTAGTCCATGACAACACAAAAGCCACATCATGGCGGCCATGGGCATCATGGTACAGGACCCACAGTAGAACCATCGGAGCACGAAAATTTCAAGTTCATCTATGAACCACATTCGGTAAGTTGACGGCATAATCAATAATAATTAAATTTTGAAATACCTTGAGATAGAATGTTATTATTGAGCAGAAAACAAAGATATGTATCCCCAAATCGGCATCAATTCTTATGTGGTCCATCCCCAACATGCCATGCCACTTTGTAGTACCACAATCAATCTATCCTTTATAATATGTTAACATTTCATTTGAATGACCTATAGAATATTTACAGCACATGATGATCGTAGTGAATGGTCACAAATGTTACATGTTCATGTTGTCTGACTCCGAGAAAGCTGCTATACACACGGACGCCGGTATCAGAGCTGTTGAGGTTAGTAATAGAGCATATTGAATGAGTGTAAGTTCAATACTGAATTTATTGCACGACTTGAATAAGATTATATTAAGCGAGTCTCTGGCGAGCATAATATTATTTAATTCAACGAGTGCAATAAATTCAGTATTGAACTTACACGGATTTAATATTCTATTTATCACATACCCAAAATAAAGACCATTTTAAGTGAAATAAGAGTCATTTTTCATTGACGCGCCTATAGTATAACGCTAACATTTAGCGCGTCTTTACACTATGTTTGCATAACGCTAATGACGTCACGTCAAAATATATGCACGGTCGTGCAGTACCATATTTACGAAGTCGCAAAATCGGCACGGGTGTGCAATATTTATTGCATCGTTGATCTGAGATTATGAAAGTTATACCATTTTATCAGATTGCGTATTTAAGCAACTTCGGTATATGATTATTCAAGTAAAATTAGAGTTGTCGAGTTATGAACTGCCATCTCTGGTTATCAAATATATACCATTTATTCAGAGTTCTTGAGTTCTGTACATATTCAATCGTTGTCAATCTATGGGTATAAAATGTTATATGTAATTATAATACACATGTAGGCATTATAGATCTCTTGTTTTTAAAGTGAATCATTTAATAGTGTTATTGAATATGATGAATAGAGGGCAAAACAATCTCAGAAAGGAAAATCAGAAAAGGTTAACCTTGTGATGCAACATTTTCTCCAAGTCGTTTCACTTTTATTGCTGCATTGAGTACGAACATGAAAATAAACGATGGTTAATTACAGCGTTTATGAAATTTAGATATTTCAAATTTGTGTGTGTTAATGTATTGAGTTATGTAAAATGATGGACATTTCATGCCTTATTTTAAAATAAAGTATATATTGATTATATATTTTATTTCATGCTTATGCCAAGACAATAATTGACACCCAACAATTAATTAATGAACAAATGCAAAATTGATATGTAAAATCGAATTCTAAATATGATTTTTTCTAAACAAAAACACCATACTTTTTCAAGTCAAGATCCATTTTTTAAATATTTTTTCATATTTTTCGTTTAAATTTTCCCTTTTGTTAGTTCCACCCATTGTTGCACACACTTTCTTTTACTTAGGGACCAGATGCCGTTTTTCATGGAATGACACGGAAGTGTCACATTAAAGGTTCCATGATAACCGCCGTATAAACACATCTGCGGATGTTTCTAAATTAGAAATTTTACCATTTCATGTTTGAATTTTAATTCTGCTTAAGCCGTTGCAAGGGGGTGTGGACGGTAATTGCCAGTAACGTCCATGAACAGGCTCAATCAAACCGAGCCTGCAACATTTTCAATTTTGCCGTGTTGGGCTTTCTTTAGGGATTCTTATTTTCTCTGTTTTAAATACCCCAGTTGATCTCTGTTGCATGTATTTTAAAAAATCATGATCAGGCTTTTGAACCTAAGTGAAGCTCATTGCAGAAAAAAAGGTTTAGTATGTGATTTATGAGCACTAGCTGTCCCTTTTTTTACACAAATAACAGTCTGTCCTCAGGTGGACTCTTTGGAGCCAAATTGCCATTGACCCTCTTGTTTTAAATATGCTATGTATGGTTTTCATTGTTTTAGAGGCATGTTAATTGGCATTTTATAATATACCGATATCAATCCATTACACATCTATGATTGTGATCCGTCAAATACAATCCATGATTACTGAGTAATTAGTTTTTAACATTATCAAATATAACAAGTGCAAAGGTTAAATCAATTTTTAAGCAATAATGAAATGTTAATTAATAACCACGCGTAACTACTAATAAAGAGATGGGATTTATTTCAGCTGAAACTTTTGGGCACACTCAGCACGGCTTCCGTTACAGAGGTCACCAAGGACAAAGTTGCTGCCAGGGTTGTACATGCATGCGGGGCACACATCACACACTATTACTTGCAAACATATGCATAAGTTTTCTATCAGAAAAACAATAATTACAGTAATACCTTTACCATACAATTACAGTGTTTGTTTTATTGCTCCAATCCGTTTGTGTCACATATTTTGTATAAAAAACAACCAACAGCATATTATAGATACATGGAAGAACACCCAATATTGCGTCCTTAAAAATGTTGCCGGGTTCGGTTGGAATGAGTGAGCCAGAAACATTTATTTTTTTCAATTTTGCCGCTTTGACTTTTAGGCGTTCTTAAGAATTATATTTTAACAATCTTTTATTTTTATTTGTTAAGCATGCACATGAAAGTTAGCTGTAACATGCAGTAGTTTTAACACAAATGGTGTTTTAACGTTTGGCACTAGAAAATGGCGTTTTCTACCAAAATTTCTACACTTTTAAAAGAAAAGAAAAAATAAACAAATTTAGGTCCAAAAAACGGCCATGCCACGCGGAAATCTCTGGGCTATATTCCTTTGCCTTAACCTTTGTGCCTAATATTACTGTAAAGAAGAACCTCCAAAATGATAATAATTTTCAATTTTCAACGGAATCACACAAATGGTGTTTAAACGGTTGGCATTAAAAATGTTTTGTTTTTTTTTTACAAAAGAATGATCGTTTTTTGTACAGAAAAAGAACAAAACGCCGGTTAAAAAAACTACCATGCCACGCGGAAATCTATGGGCGATTATTCCTTATATTACTGTAATTTAGAACCTCCAAATTGATACAATTTCTTATTTTCAACAGAATCACACAGATGGTGTTTAAACGGTTGGCATAAGAAAATTGTGTGTGTAACCAAAAACTGTACACTTTATATAGAAAAAGAACAAATCGCCGGTCAAAAAACGACGATGCAACGCGGACATGTCTGGGCCATATTACTTAGCTTACACCTTTTAGTCTTATATTACAGTCCAACTAATACAATGTCCAAATTTTAACGTAACACAAAAGGTGTTTTAACGGTTGGCATTAGAAAATGGTTGTTTTTGCAAAAAAAGTATACTTTAGAAAGAAAAAAAAAAAAAATCACAGGCCCAAAAAAAGGACCATGCCACGCGGAAATCTCAGGGAATCACACCACAAATAGTGTTTTAACCGATGGCATTAGAAAATGGTGTTTGCACCAAGAATTGTACACTTTATACAGAATTTAAACGTACAAATCTCCGGTCCAAAAAACGACCATGTCGCGCGGAAATATCTGAGCCATCCTCCAGACTAATACAATTTCTAAATTTCAAGTGAGACACACCAAAGGTGTATTAGAAAATTGTGTTTGTTACCAAAAATTGTACACTTTATATAGAAAAAGAACAAATCGCCGGTAAAAAGAACGACCATGCCACGTGGACATCTCTCGGGGCCATATTCATTGACCTAGACCTTGGTGTCTTCCAAACTAATACAATTTCCAATTTACAACTGCATCACACGAATGGTGTTTTAGCCGTTAGCATTACATAATAGTGTTTTAAAAGAATGAAATGTTCACATTATATAGAAAAAGAACGTACAAGTCCCCGGTAAAAAAAACAAAACAAAAAACGACACATGCCACGCGGAAATCTCTCGGTCATATTCATGGAATTAGACCTTTGTGTCTTATATTACTTTAAAGAAGAACCTGCAAACTAATACAATTTCCAGTTTTCAACGAAATTACACAAAGGGTGTGTTAACAATTGGCATAAGAAAATGGTGTTTTTCACCAAAACTTGAACACTTCATATAAAAAAACCAAATCGCCTGTCCATAAAAATGACGATGCCACGCGGATATCTCCGGGCCATTTTACTTGGCATTGAGCATTATTTATATTACTGGAAAGAAGAACCTCCCAACAAATACAATTTTCAATTTTCAGCGGAATCACACAAAAAGCGTTTGAAACGTAGTCCTCAGAATGGGGTGTTTCTTACGATTTTTTTTTTCACTTTATGTAAAGAAAGAACAAATCGCCGATCCAAAAAGCGGAAATGTCGAGGGTGTTTTCCTTGGGCTAGAAAATTGTAACTTAATTATATTGCTGTAATGAAGAACCTTTAAATTTAAACTAATTGAATTTTTAATCCGCCACGGAATCAGACAACTGATGTTTTAACGGTTGACAGCAGAAAATGTTGATTTTTACGTACGTTTATATACAGAAAGAACAAGTTACAAGTTGTGTGCCCTAGTAGTTCAAGAGAACCTCCGAACTTTTGCGGATGTTAATCTGAAACGGAATCAAAAGAATGGTGGTTTCTCATTTGGCTTAAAACAATGTTTTGTTTTACGAAAATGTAAACAAACATAATTGGATGTTATAAAGAACATACAGTGTTTAATGTGATTGCATTTAATGCTACAAACTTCAATAATAAAAACTTTATTCATGGTTCAGTCATAAAAAATCTTTTATTAAAATATATGTCTTCAAAACAAAGATAATTTCAAACATTATACGCTGACGACTTTTTAATTATTTTTGTTGGTGATCCTAACTCGGTATAATTGTTAAGTAATTTGCATCTTGAAAGTTTATTAACTGAATAATATATATCCCAATAGGTTTTTATTATATCTGGCCGAGTTGACCCGTGCCGAGTTAACTCGTGCAGACTCGGTTTAGGGCCGGCTTGACACTTTACCATAAAACACGCTTATTATTTTACATAATTCTATTTTTTGTGTGTGTGTTTAATTTGCAAGTGATATAGGTCGATAAATTGTGTTTTTAAGCGCACGGTACGACCAGTTGCACAGGACGGTGTGATGAACGTTAGCCATCCGTACAGAATTGTACGGCCTTTTACAGAATTTATATATTCGTTTATTCGCAATATCTCGGACTATTTATGTCGGCCATAGTTGCTATAGGAGACAAACAGGGTAAGTTAATTTTTTTCTGTGCTGTAAGTTTATGTATGTGTGTATCTGTCCTTTTTACACGTATTTAAGAAAGTAAATATCACATATTACACTGACAAATCGAATTATTGTTAATAATTTATGTGATACTTCAGAAAAAATGTCTTCCTGATCAAATAATTTTCGTCCTCAATTATTTTCGCACATTTTGATGATTTTCGTGTATTAAGGGGGCAGGGGACCTAAAATGAACAATTTTGTATTTCAGTGTGGCCAGAAACACAATTCCAAATATTTCAAAATCCGTTTCACATGCTGATAACCAGTTGCACAGCATTATTCAATGATATATTACATACATTAAAGAAAATAATAGTTTGCATGCATTGCTCCTTAAAAAAATGACTGACAGCAATTTATATTTACCTACTGACAGCAATTTATATTTACCCCTACCCAGCCAAAATCACACCTAAAACATACCAATATAGGCAATCTTCATGAAGGTGCAGCATACTCCAGAATCCGCCCTATTCCTTTAAAAATATCACTAACACGCAGTGCAAGCTATGGCATTTTCAAAAATGACCAATAAAGTGTCTGTCATACGTTTAGATTTTTCACAAAATTTATCCGAAATTTCTTACTTGCTTGGCGCCAACTGTCAAAGCTTGATTTTTAACTTTTTCACCTTCATTTGGAGAGTCACAAATACATACAAAGCTGCCAAAATGCTTAGTTTTGGGTAAAAACCCAAAAATACTGCTCATTCCTACATACAAACAAGAAAGAATTACAATGACAGATAAATATTAGAAGTTTCCAGTACCTTCAAAACACCATGTCTGAGTTATTAAAAAATTTGACCGGCTATCATTTGAAAAATTATTGTTGTTTTGTCGAACTACCGGTTCGACGAACTTAATTTATGAAGAGCTGTGAAAGTGGTTTTGTTGATCTAATGTTATATAGTAATTAAAGGCAAAGTAGACATGGTTCATATATATATAAACACAGACACTTGGGGTTGACGTTTTTCAAAACGGCTTATATTAAGTTTTTTTATATATATGATCAGTGCATGTGCTGCTGGGTTTGACAAATATCATTTTAATTGGATTTTTAAGGCTTTTTAAGCTCTACACCTCAAGTGTCTGTATATATATAAAATATCATGAATATTTTGTTATAAATTTATTATCATTATTCGTTTTTTCAGGTTTTACTTATATACGTGTATATATTTCTATGATGTTGTTCTTTTGTATTGTGTAATGTTTTTATGTAAATATTACTAAATTATACTAAAGAAAATAATAAATAAAAGGTTTAAATTTTCGAAATCTTGTCTTTAATTGCATGAAAATGGGTGATAAACCATGATAATTGGCGTGCCCATTATACAATAGATATTGTTTGCACAGTCACTATATAAATTAAGTTCGTCGAAATCACTACCTGTTTATTATATAAGATCAGTTCGCCGAAACCACTCTCACCCTCATTCGAATAATTTTTATGTCCCCTGCCCCCTTAAGACTAAAAGTAAAGGAGTTAACGCTCGAGGTTTTGATCTCTTTATAATTTAATACAGTTTTATTATAATAAACTTTTTTTCTATTGATAAAACATGATTTACGTTTTATTTTTGAATATGATGATCTTCTTTAAGTTCTTACAACTCTTATAATATTAGAAATCTTCAACCAATCGGGACCTTTTTTTTCATTACGAAAATTAATGCGCCTGTTATTTGACAACTTTATGCAGTGATCTCCCCTTAATTTTTCGGTATTAATATACATATGAAGGGGCTTCGAGGAGTTTGGACTACTTTCGGTATTTGCAAATAAGAACATCAGGGTCTGTAATTTCGCTACCATTATTTGTTTGGTTTGACGACCCAAACAAATGATAATTATATGATGTTCATAACTCTAGCGTTATTATTTTTAGAATTATCTTTCCATATAAAATCTAATACAGAAATATTATGATATATCATAACTGATTTATCATTTATTTCATAGTTTTGTCTTCCTTTACTGCATCCAGAATTTAATGAGTCAAGCATGGCTGTCTCCCCTGACAGCTCTTGTTTGAAGCTCAACTATTCAAAGAATATGGAGAGCTGTTGTACTCACCTGGGCATCACCATCACACTGGCTAAGATTTTGCATGCAATTTGGTATAGATCTTCAAAACTACCGGAGGAAACAGATTGAAACTTCTCACACTTGTTCCCTTAGGTCACAGATCACATAACTCTGGGTTACTTTTTTTACAGAGAATTGTCCCTTTTCTTACTGTCAAGCACTGAGAATAGTCAAGTGCGCTGTCTTTCAGACAGCTCTTGTTTTTGTAACATACTTACCTAATCAGTGATTTGTTCACATTTTGGGGAAAAGTGGCAGGGCCCCTCAGCTTGGGAAAAAATGAGTCATCAGCATTTTTGGGTAACCATTCAAAATCAGCAAGGTTTGAAATAATCTTTATCATTGAAAACCAGAATAACCATGCTAATATCTATGCTGTTTTCCTCGGTCAAAATCACTCCAAAACATTTCAGGAGTTTTCTTTATGTTTAACGATTTTGTGGGGGAAAAGTTTTCAATAATTGGCAAAAAATATATAATTTTTTCAGATGGGGAATGGCAAATTGATCCTAAAAATTCACTGGCAAATTTAATGGTCTTTTTCTGCTTCGAGTTCAGTAATATCCATTTGCGATTTAGAGTTATGCTGGGGGTCTTGTCACAAGCCTTCTAAGATGGTTAGGCAGAGGCAAATCAATAGGCTGTTCAGAGTAATGCACTTCTAAAATACTTAAAAGTTATAGAATTAAAGGCAATAAATGTAGTATGTTACTGTATTTGCCTTTCCTTAACTGTATCAATTGACACTTGACATATTTGTTGTCAGAATTAAAGTAATTGTAGGTCTGATACTAAGTTTTATTATGTTGCTGTTAAAACCTCTTTTTTGACTGACCCTTTTTATGCTCCTCAGTCCTTGATCTTTTAAGTTATAGTCACTGCTTCGTTTTCAGTAGTTCTGACATGCTTACATGTAATTCTCCAACTTAATTTTGTATTCAATATCTTCCATATTTGGTAGGTAGATATTTTAGGTGGTCTGCTAAGCTTTGGAAAGAGATTTGGGTCACTGCCCAGGGTCAGATACTGAATGCTTACTAAAAACAGATTTTTACATTTTTCACTCATACATCTTTTACATATGGACTGATGTCTTGAATTGTGATGACAGTCGAAACTTGCACAAACTCGGACACATCCAAATTACCTTTAGCCATATGTCTTGTTTTACACGGAAGTTTAAGTTCTGGTTTGTCCAATGGTTGTGTATACTTTTCTTATGTCCTCTTGTCACACTTACTTACTTTTACTCATTGTATCTTTATATAAAAAAAACAACAACCAGGATCGTAGTTGTTTGGCATGTTGATATTTGTTCCTTTCATGGATCTCTTTCAAATTCTTTTTTTTGTATATATAATTATATTTATGTATGAGGTTGATTGGGTCAACTCATAGTTAAAGTCACAAAAATAGGTTTTCCATTGAACCGTAATGAATTTTCAGATGTCTTTGGTATTGTGTCAAGTTTTTGGTTTCACTTATGAGATTTTTATCGATATTCTGAGCGGTATTTGTGATTATAAGTTAAGAATCGCTGTACTCCTGGACTTGCTGCCGTATTGGACTTGCTGCAGTATTGGACTTGCTGCTCTTCTTGGACTTGCTGCACTATTGGACTTGCTGCACTATTGGACTTGCTGCACTATTGGACTAGCTACGCTTCTTAGACTTGCTGCAGTATTGGACTTGCTGTACTATTGGACTTGCTACAGTATTGGACTTGCTGCACTATTAGTCTTTCTGCGCTTCTTGGACTTGCTGCGCTTCTTGGACTTGCTGCACTTCTTGGACTTGCTGCGCTTTTTAGACTTGCTGCGCTTCTAAGACTTGCTGCGCTCCTTGGACTTGCTGCGTTCCTTGGACTTGCTGCGCTTCTTAGACTTGCTGCGCTCCTTGGACTTGCTTCTTTTCTGGGAAGCGGATCGTTCTTAGACTTGCTTCTTTACTGGGAAGCGGACCGTTCTTAGACTTGCTTCTTTACTGGGAAGCGGACCGTTCTTAGACTTGCTTCTTTACTGGGAAGCGGACCGTTCTTAGAGACTTGCTTCTTTACTGGGAAGCGGATCGTTCTTAGACTTGCTTCTTTACTGGGAAGCGGACCGTTCTTTAGACTTGCTTCTTTACTGGAAGCGGATCGTTCTTAGACTTGCTTCTTTACTGGGAAGCGGACCGTTCTTAGACTTGCTTCTTTACAGGGAAGCGGACCGTTTCTTAGACTTGCTTCTTTACTGGGAAGCGGATCGTTCTTAGACTTGCTTCTTTACTGGGAAGCGGATCGTTCTTAGACTTGCTTCTTTACTGGGAAGCGGACCGTTCTTAGACTTGCTTCTTTACTGGGAAGCGGACCGTTCTTAGACTTGCTTCTTTACTGGGAAGCGGACCGTTCTTAGACTTGCTTCTTTACTGGGAAGCGGACCGTTCTTAGACTTGCTTCTTTACTGGGAAGCGGACCGTTGCTAAGGCTCAACTCTTCACTAGAAAGCCGACCGTTTTCTAGACTTGCTGCTTTATTCGGTTCCCTCACTGGACCTGCTCACCAACAAGGAGACTTGCTGAAAATTAAGCTTTCCGACAATATGTATAAAGCTTCTTTCGAAATCAAATTTTTTTTTCTTCTTTTTTTTATTTCCAATTTCATTTCATATAAATACACAACGCGCGAACCGGATAGAACGCCACAATTGTGACGTCACGTCAAAACAATAAATAATACAAAATGGCGGACATTTGTGTTTCTTTTCATAAATAAAATGGCTATTTTGACAACAGCCCTCTTCAAAAGGAAATATTAGATATTTCTATCAAATGTCAAAATAACATTCTTTTTTTATTCATCTGTTTCTTGATACTGTCTGCTTAGGT